GTTCAGGCAACAGCCAAATCCATGCCATAGCCTGTTTTTGTTTAGCTGGGGAAAAAAAAAAATTATTTTTACACTTTTAAAGGTTGTTTAAAATAAACAAAGAGGAATATGTGTTGGTGACTATATAAAGCATGCAAAATGTAAATTATTTAATCTACTATATGCCCTTTATTAAAAAAATTGCCCAACTCCTACTCTAGCCCAGTGGTTCTCAAACTTTAGAATTCATCAGAATCATCTAGAGATTACTAAAACATCAAATGCTGAGCTTGACCCCCAGAAGTTCTGATTCAGTAGGCTGGGATGGGGCCTAGAAACATGCATTTCTAAGTGATGCTGATCCTGCTAGTTCAAACTGTACTTTGAGAATACTGGCTTAGTCAATTCATTCTCTCACTCACCTACATGACTATTTCATAGCCTCTTTTCCCTCCACAAAGCGGGAGCGCCGCCGCACTCCCAAGCGGCGCACTCTCCAGTGCGCCACCAGGCCGGCCCTCCCTTAATCTTTAAATCATCTATAGAAAATAAATAAATAAATAATAGAAGAGCTAAGAAGAGAAATTCCATAAACTCCTATCACCATATCTACTCATCTACCCAATATTAGGACTTTTCTTATAACTAAAATCTATTTTATAAATGAACCGACCATGCTATCTGTCGCAAAACTCTCCGTTTAAGCACTAGATAACATTCCCTTTCACCCACAACAATCCAAAAATTATCCCCCTTTCTCTCCTGCATCATTAATTTTTCATGTTCTACTGAATCATTACCATCTTAGCCTGTAAGATATAAACAAGCTGTCCTCTCTCCCATTAAATACAAAAACAAATAAACAAAAAGAAACCCTTCATTCTCCCCTCCCTCACCAGCACATACACCAGTTATCAATTTATTGCCTCTGAGCTCCAAATTCAACCTTCAGTACCTGCTCTGAAAAATGGTTTTGAGCCCTTTAAATACTTTTCCTTCACCAGCTAGCATTACATTAAGTTTTATCAGTGGAGGACACTGGAGAGACAGTGGCCTGGCTTCTCCAACACGCTTTAGTGTCTAACTCCTATAGCATGAAAGACTATTTCAGCACCAACCTTTTGCAGTATATGGCAGCTAGAAGCAGCCAGCAGCCAGCAACTTCCCCCAGCACCCTGCTAAGGCAGTTTTGTAGTAAAGTGCATACAGTGAGATGCTTCTCCATGAGGCCCCCTATAGGACAGATTTCCAGATAGTTCCAGACGGTGAATATCCAACAAGTTTTGCTGGCACAGCACTACAGAGACTTTCCTGACATTCTGTAAGCCATGGCTATGTCCTCTCCAATAAGGTGTAGATCTCAGTACTGAGGGAAAGGAGCCCTCTTCTTTGGGCACTCCATCTTAGCCCTTGGGTAGAAGCTGTTCCTTCTATCTACTTTTCCTATATTCTTTTGCATTCTACATTTTATTAGCCAATCCCTTGTTACTCCAAACCCCTCTATTGTATACAATTCTTTGAATTAAACTTTCCCTGTTGAAATTACCATGTGGTGTCCCTCTCTTCAACAGACCCTTGACTGATACACAAGGAAATGACTGTAGGGCGAAGGAGAAATAAGTCAAACATATAAGTACTAGATTTGAGAATTATCAGCATACATGATAGATATCTCTTTTGAATATTTCCTATGAGGAGAGAATCAAAAAATAAAACCAAATACAAACCAATGAAAATAATATTTTAAAAGTGGGCTCAAGAAGCAGTACCATTTGAGGAAATTAATTAAGAGTGATCACGAAGTAGAATACAGAAAAAAAGTATCACTAAAGCCAAGAAAAGAAATACTTTCAGGAATGATTTTCCATAATTAATGACAACAGGCATTCAAATTCAAAAACTAAGTTATCCATCACCAATAAAAATTTACTGAGTGCTCTACGGGTAGAAGAAACTGCACTCCAGTATGTATATGAGGATATTTCAAAAAGATTGGGGAAAAATGAAATTACAAGATATTAAAAATCTTTTCATGAACTTTTTGAAGACCCCTTGTATTTTAGTAACTCATTCATTTACATGCTTATAAAATTTGGAAAACAGAAAAAAGTATAATAAAGAAAATTTTAGCTGTACATTTTTAAAAGAGTAAGATCACACTACTGGCTGTGGCAGCTAGCCTTATTAAACTGTATTTGCTACTTCAAAATGTCTTTATAAACATTATCATTAATTATTATTTAATATCCTTAGAGATTTATCATAATTTATTAACATCCTCTTCTACAGGATATTTTTCCCTACAGTTTTGAAATACAGACCAAAGCTCTCAATTAATAAAGTATATCATGCATTGATGACATACCTAAGCAAAAATCTTCCAAAATATTTATTGAAAAAAATCCACGAATAAGTGGATCTGCGCAATTCAAACCCATGTTGCTTGAGGGTTTGCTTATATTAACTATATAATAGAAAATTTAACATGAAATATCAGTGACATCAACAATGTTGATTTAAAATTTGTACTCACTACTTTAATTATAATTTTTATTTTATGAAATGTACTTACCAAAATCATAACCTTCTGGAACATTTTCATTGACAATGCCTTTCCTCAAACTGTCCTATTAAAAGACAAATTGCTTTTATTTATATTCATACCAATATACCTCTATCCTATAAAATCCTTTTATCTGCAGAGAAAAATGTTTAAAACCAATTTTTTAAAAAAATGACTCAAACTTAGAAGGACTTACTTATGGCAAAATATGAAAGTGGTTAAGCAAAATATCCTTAAACTACTATTATAAAAAAATGCTTGAGGAACTGTTAAGATGTGTGTGTATGTGTGTATGCATGTTTGTGTACAAGCACATCCATATTCACCTTTTTCTGTAAATTCTGCTAATGAATTTTGCCTATGACAATGAATTAAATCTTATGCAAAATATGATAATACCAACAAATATATATACACACATATCAAAAAAATTTACTTACCAATGATTCACCATAATCATTAAGATAAAACATCTGAGACTTCACATTCCAATAGGCAAAAAGGTTATCCAATCGAACTAACTGAAAAAAAATCAAGTTCATTATCTCATTTTCTCTGAAGGATTTTTAATATATGCTCTTCTCAGAAGTCTCAAATAATTAGTAAACCATATCACAGTTAAGCAAATAAACACAATTCACATAAATCTTTATCTGTAGATTATTATTTGCCTTTCTAAATGCCTCTTTCATCAAGTCCACAGGTTGACAAATATAGTATTTCTTTTATTTTACCTTACGAACTAGTTTCTCAGTTTCATCATGTAAACATGGAACCCAGTATTGATCAGTTGTCTGAAAGGAAAAAAGAAGAGTAGTTAAAAAGGTCATCACATTTAAAAATGGCAAAGTAATAAATCATTACCTATCATCCTAGACCACTTTTCCAGAAAATAACTATGAAAACATAGCATTCAGTCAAAGAATATTAGCTGATCACAAGGAAGCCTCTGCTTTCAAGCAACTCATTACTGGTCAAAAAAAAAAAAAAATAGTTACAAAAGAGGCAAATAACTCTAGTATTCTTCTTTGCTGGAGCTAGAGTAGCCCCCTAAAGACCAAGCTGCTAAGATACCCCTTTCCCCTGGGAGTGGAGTCAGCACTGTGCTGCTTTTTGCCCTTCAGGGCCCAAGCAACAGCTGTGCCCTGCCATTCTGGAGTCCCTGCTGCTGCTGCACTTGGCCCAACAGAAGCTGGGACATTGCCAAGTCCCATAATCTAAAGTCACCACTGTATGGTGCCTTACCTCCTCCAGGGTCTAGAGTCATCACTACATAGTGCCACACCTCAATGAGTAAATACTGAGCCCTAATACTCTGGTTCTCAAGTTTTAGCTGTACCCTGCTCCTCAGGCCCAAGCCTCCAAACCACCCCTTTTGCCCAGGGTCAGGCCAGTGCTGTGCCCTGCCCCCAAGGATCAGAATCATAGCTGCAACCAAGTCTACTGGGCTTGAGTTTCCAGGGGGTTCCTCACAGTCACATATCCTGGTCCTGTGGGCAATCTACATCCAACCCTGCAACAGAAAGTGAACCTCCACCCCAAGACCTAGATGCCATATTAGGTTCACAAGACCCTGAACCTAAGATCCAGGCTCCAGAGCCATTCAGAGCACCTGCACCTGGAACCCAGAGCCAATGATGCTGCTTATAGGTCACATCAGACCCAACACCAAGAATGATCCCCTTGGTGAAGTATCCCCACTGTGGGGAAAACAAAAGTAGGAATATCTCAAAAGCCCTTGCCACTGATGACCTTAATACGTCAATACTGCCACAAACTTCTACATCCTTGGTCACTTAGGCACCCAGTTATCAGTGATGCTGATTACAGGTGAAGAAGCTGCTCAGAGACTATACCACGGTATCGATATGAAACTAGAATCAACATACCCTTCCCAACCAATACACTAAGATCCATCTGCAGGGGAAAGACTTTGAAAGTCACTCTGTAAAGCTTGGAAGAGGTGATTCTATCACCAGATGGACAGACAATAACACGGGGACACAAGAAACATGAAAAAGCAAGGACACATGACAATGCCAAAGGGACACAATAGCATTCTAGTGACAGATCCCAAAGAAAAAGAAATATACAAACTGCTGGAAAAAAAATTCAAAACAACAATCTTAAGAAAACTCAAGAAGATACAAGAAAATCCTGAAACACAATTCAACAAAACCTGTAAAATCATGATACAAACAAGAAATTTAACAGAGACAAATGTCATTAAAAAAAAAAAAAAACCAAACAGAAGTCCTACAGATAAAGAAATCAATGAATAAAATAAAAAATACAATACAAAGGTCAACAGCAGACTACAGCAACATACAAAAACCAGCAGTGTTTCTATACACCAACAATGAACAAGAAATAAAGAAAGCAATCCTGTTTACAACAGCTTTCAAATAAAACATTTAAAAATTAATTTAACAAAGGAGTTGAAAAGTATCTATCTTGAATACTATAAAACACTGACGAAAGAAATTAAAAAGGATACAAAAAAATGGGAAAACATCCCATGTTCATGTATTGGAAGAATATGGTGAAAATGACCATATTAGTCCATTTCTGTTGTATATATAACAAAATACTTGGAACTGGGTACTTTGTAAGAAAACAAAATTTATTGCTTACAGTTTTGGAGCCTGGGAAATCCAAAGCCCAGGGAACGTATCTGGTGAGGATCTTCTTTGGTGGTAGCTTTACAGCAATGCAGGGGTCTCACATGGCAGAAAATGGCAGAACAGAGAGAGAGACACTCTCTCATGCTCTCCTTTTAAAGCCCTCAGAACCATGCCATAACCACCATTATTAATCCACTCATTAGGGCATGGTCATCAGAATCTAATCAACTATTCAAGGCCCCACCTTTCAATTACCATAATAGGATTTCCCATCCTCAACAGTTATAATGGGACTGAGCTTTAACAACTTTGGGGGGCATTCAAGCTACTGCAATGACCATACTACCACAAGTGATTTATGGATTCAATGGAATCCCTACCAAAATACAAATGACATTTAAATAAAAAAATTAAAAAAAAGAACTCCTAAAATGTATATGGAACAACAAAGACTCCAAATAGCCAAAGAAATCCTAAAGCAAAAAGAACAAAGCAGGAGGCACCACATTACCTGACTTCAAAATATACTACAAACTGTAGTAACCAAAACAGCATGGTACTGATAGAAACAGACACATAGCCCAACTGAACAAAACAGAAACCCAGAAATAAATCCGTGTATATACAGCCAATATTTTTCAACAAAGGTACCAACAACACACAATGGGGAAAAAACAGCCTCTTCAATAAATGTTGCTGGGAAAACTGGTTATCCATATTCAGAATAAAACTAGACCCCTGCTATGGATTGAATTGTCTCCCCCAAGGGTTCATGTATTAAATCCCACTGTAACAGTGTTGAGGGTGTGAAATCCTATTAAGGTCATTGAAAGGTGGGGCTTTTAAGAGGTTATTAGATTGTGAGGACAATGCCCTAGTAAATGGATTGATCCATTCATGCAGTAATAAATTGATGGTTTAATGGTGGTAATGAGCATGACTCTGATGGCTTTATAAGGAAAGCAAGTGAGCAGGTTAGCTCTCTCTCGCTCAAGCCATTCTACATATGATAACATGCATCACTGTAGAGGCACTACCACCAAGGCCCTCATCACACGAGCCCTCTGGATTGTGGATTTTTCAGCCTGCCAACTGTAAGAAATAAATTCTATTTCTTTATAATTCAACCAGTTTCAGGTATTCCATATAAGCAACAGAAACAGACTAACACAACCCCAATCACTCAACATGCATAAAAATAAACTCAAAATAAATTAACGACTTAAACATAAGACTTGAAACTATAAAGCTATTAGAAGAAAACATGGAAATGCTTCAGGACATTGGTCTGGGCAAAAATTTTATGGAAAAGACTTCTAAAGCACAGGCAACAAAAGCAAAAATAGACAAGACTACATCAAACTAATAAAGCACAGAAAAGGAAACAAAGAGAAAACCTGCAGAATGGGAGAAAATATTTGCAATCCCTATGCATCCAACAAGGGATTAATATCCCGAATATACAAAGAACTCAAAAACTCAACAGCAAAATAACAAATAATCCAATTAATAAATGGGCAACTGAGCTGAATATACTTCCTCAAAAGAAGACATATGAATGGTCAACAGATACATGAAAAAATATTCAACAACACTAATCATCAGGGAAATGCAAATCAAAACCTCAATGAAATACCATCCCACTCCAGTTAGAATGGCCATTACCAAAAAACCCAGAAAATAACAAATGCTGGAGAGGATGTGGAGAAAGAGGAACTCATACACTCTTGGTAGGAACATCAATTAGTTCAGCCATTATGGAAAACAGTATGAAGTCCCTCAAAAAACTAACACTAGAACTACCATGTGACCCAGCAATGCCACTACTGGGTATATATCAAAAAGAAAGGAAATCAGTATATCAAAGAGATATTTGCACTCCCATGTTTATTGCAGCACTATTCACAATAGCCAAGATATGAAACTGACCCAAGTGTACATCAACAGATGAATGGATGAAGAAATAAAAAGGGTATATATACACAACGGAATACTATTCAGCCATAAAAATTAATGAAATCCTGTCATTTGCAGCAACATGATTGGACTCCGAGGACATCATGTTAGGTGAAATAAGTCGGGGACAGAAAAAGAAATACTGCATGTTCTCAATCATATGTGTAAGCTGCAGAAAATTGATCACACAGAAGTACAGACAGGGAGGGGGGATAGTAAGAGGTTGGGTAACCAATACAAAATTACAGCTAGATTGGAGGAATAAGAGCAAGTGTTCTAGAGTACTACAGAGTGACTATAATTAACAATTTATTATATTCTTTCAATGTGCTAGAAGAGAGGATTTTGAATGTTCCCAACACAAAGAAATTAGAAACGTTTAAGGTAATGAAAAAAGAAAAAACATCAGTGCAAGATTTCAGAGGAGAAGGAAGGGAGAGATGAATGGGTAGAGCACAGAAGATTTTTAGGGCAGTGAAACTATTTTGCATGATACTGTAATGGTAAATATATTACATTAGGAATTTGGCAAAACCCACAGAACTGCAAAACACAAAGAGGAAATCCTAATGTAAAACTGAGTAGTAATAATACATCAACATTGGTTCATAATTGTAACAATGTACCGCACTAATGCAAGATGGTTAATAACAGGAGAAACTGAGAGGGGGATGTGAACTGTCTGTACTTTCTGTTCACTTTTTCTGTAAACCTAAATTGCTTTAAAGATAAACTCTATTACAAAAACAGAAAAAGAAATCATACACAAAATCCAATGATATAACAAATAAAAAGCATTTAATGAAATACTATACAGTGGTTAAATGAATTGGCAGCACAGATAAATGTCAAAAACACCGTGAAGGGAAAAAGAAAATTTATAGAAGAATCACACAAAATATTTCTGTTAAGTTTTTTGTTGTTGTTGTTTTTTTAAACATGGCCGGTAAGGGGATCTTAACCCTTGACTTGGTGTTGTCAGCACCACGCTCTCCCAAGTGAGCTACGGGCTGGCCCTAAACTTTTAAAACTCTACATTTTTTAATGTATATATTACATAAAAGTTAAAAAACTTAGGTTGTTTATCTCTGGGGGAGGAAAGATGAGAGTAGATAACAAAGGAGATTTAAACTTCATCCATAAAAGTTTATTCCTACAAAAATATTTAAGACTTAAAGCAAATGACAAATTCAACAACCACTCATTCTAAATGCAAACAAATGTTTTGTGATTCTCTATGTATTTCTATATTTTTAAAATTTCTCCATTTCAAAAATTAGGAAGAAATTATGCCACAATATTAATGATGATGATAAGGAAATGGATGATTTGTTTCTTTATGCTTTTCAAGATTTATCAAAGTTTCAAAAACGAACATTTATTCCGTAATTATTTTTTAAGTACTCATTGAAAATTTATAAATGGATTTTTTTAAATAAGCAAAAGTATCTAACATCACAATTACAATAACAGGCCCTCATATTTTAAACTAAATTTGATTTTTAGCTATTTTTTGAAATGTGAATCTACCTACCTTCAATTGCAATCCAATCTATGCTCTTTCTGCACCAATTCTATATAGACACTATTTCTGATGCTGGCATACACAAAAAGTAATCAGTACTTTGACTTACTATAACATACTACACAAATGAATATGGTTAAGTTTCCTTTTTAAACAAAGTACCTGCATGCTGAGATTTTGAAGGGAAATACCAAATGAAAGCGGATTGTCTCGATTTGTGATCTAAAGAAGAAAGAAAGTAAATTTCACTCATATTTTTAGTAGTTGGACAAAATTCATTTTATAGCAAAAGTTCACTTTCTGGGAAGTATCCTATTTCAAACATTCAAAAACATTTTACTATTTTCCAGAACAACTTTTATTCCTATACTTTTCCTAAAACAAATTAGAATACTAAATAATATATTAGTATTGTACAATAATGCTATATCTGCATAACGTTTTTCAGTTTACAATAGAAAAATTTTTTTAACAGACTGACACAATAGTAATATAAAGCAAATAACTATGTGTTTACAAGAGAACAAATGACCTATTTTAAAAGCAAGCAATTAGTTAAGTCCAGCTCTACTGATTCATAGCCTAGTGCTCTTTTCAGGAGGTAAATATGTAGCATATTTTTGAACTATTTTAAAAATACATAACTGCTAAACCCATCACTCTGAAGGCATTTTCCTTCATAATGTGATATTTAAATGTTTTAGAAAAGTGTAACCAAGCACTCTCCAGTAAGGACTGCAAATTACAACTACAATTATAGATAAGAAAGATATTGTCTTGTTTTGTATCCCTCTACCTCCTGCATTTAAACAGGTGCAGCACTACAGAGTAGGTGTAGATAAACAGTAAAATAACTTACATATGAACACACACACAAAATCACCTATTAAAATACTTACGTCATCTTCATAACGAATATGGATGTTGGAAATTTTCACTTGAAGATTTTTTATGATCTGAGTAACTAATTTTTCTGCAAATGTGTCTTGTTTCTCCTGCCGAAGATGTTCTACAATTGCAAATATTCCTTTTGATAACTTGAATGAAAAATATATTCTATAAATATCCAAATATTGAGGTAACATTTATGTTGCCTTGTTAAAGAAAAAATATGTATTTATAAATAGAACACTAATAGCCTGCTTTCCAAAGGGCTTTCGAAGGCAAGTGAATGTACAAAAGCTACTTTTTTTGTTCAATGAGACTAAAGCCAACCATGAAGAATTTACTGGCATTAAATTTTATAATTTATCTGTTAACTATTCATGAGTATATAAAGATACAGAAAACAATGAAGATTATTAGATAATTATAATAGGCTTAAATCAGAAAAGCCGGTAACAGCAGCAAAGCAGAAATCTCCTTTAAAATTAGTAGATACCATCGTAAATCCTCTGTGCTTAGATGTATAAAATAGTTGAATATGCTCCTCCTCCTGGTGAATACAAAATAGGAAATGATAAGATCCTCTCCCTCTTTCCTTTCAAACAAGGATAAAGGAGTTCATCATCTGCTTCATTTTCAGAAAATAGTATTAACTATCTCCAGTTTTAATATTTTCCAGGAGAATACACAGAATAAAGAACAGAGGTTCCTAATTTTTTTTGAAATATGCCTTTGATAACCACTAGCTACCATCCCTTTTCCCTTTTAAAAATGGCAGTGAAAGCTATCTCCTTTCACATTTCCAGTCCTGTATATAAATAATATACATATTACCTGTCTTTTCCTCTAATCACCTGCTCCTCCCTAATTCATATGGCCCAGGAGGCCTTAAAGAAAAGTTGATGAAGATTTTAATCATATGTACCTCAAATACATAACAGTTTAGTGAATATATTTGATTATAAAATGTCTATGGAATTAGGTAAAGCAGCAAGTAGAATACAAGCTCTCTGAAGACATGTGACCATATTTTAACCTTTGAATCTCACCACTACCTAATAAAGTCCTCTACTCTCACAAATTCATTCAGTTCAATTGAATGATAAATCTTTCTTTCCCTTCCCACTAGCTTCCTCCTAACTTCCTCATGCAGTTCAGATTCCATGATACATAATTTCACCAATATCTTAAACTCCACTCCTTTGCTCTTTCTTCCCATTTTCCACTGTCAATAAAGTCCAAACGCTGAATAAAACCAACTATCCACTTTACATAAAAACATGCCTATGCCTATGTCTTGCCAGGTGAGTAATGAAGGAGAAAAATCACAAGACAGACTGGAAATACTGTAAACTAGTCATCACCAACTTCAACCAACCAGCAACAATACTACATTTCTCTGGTCAACATGTCCATACTCCTCAGAAAAACTCTTTTAAAACTTGTTCTGACTCTCCTCAAAACTCCAACAACCATCTCCCTGCTCTTTATTCATAACAGATGACCTTGCCTCCAACTTTGGAAAAAAGAGAAGCTACAGGAAGGTAACTTCTTCTGTGTCATAGTCGCTCAATCAAAACAGCAATTTTTAAGATGACCAATGACCTACATGTCATGAATAAAATGATGATCTCTTAATCCTCATCTTACTTGATATCTTATCAGGATCTGATACCTTCTTTGCTTCTTAAAACAGCCCTTTTCCCATGGAGCCATAAACTCCAAATTTCCTCCCACTTTATCTGGCCACTCCGCTTTGATCTTCTTTGTCTGTTTTCCTCCTCTATAGAATCAGTAAATGTTGGATTTCCTTAAGACTCAGTCCTAGGACTGCTTCTCTTCTCATTTTATAGTGCTGCTACAGAGAACTCATCTACACCTTTATAGCCTGAACTATCACCCTAATGGTGATAACTCTCAAATGTATATTAAACAAAGTAGGAAGTGAGACAAAGAGTGAAAAAAACTTGGCATATTCAGTAAATCACAAATAGTCCAGTATGGCTAGAGCAAAGAATAGAGGAGATAAGAAAGGTTTGGGGACAGTTATGAGGCTAAAAAGGTAGGCAGGATTCAAATCATGAGAGCTTTAATGTATCTTGCCAAAGAGTTTAAACTTCAACCTGATTAATAATGAGGTATCACTTATGATTAAACATTTGTACACTAGTCCTCCCTTAACCACAGAAGATACGTTGCAAGATCCCCAGTGTATGACTGAAACCATGGATAGGACCAAATCCTATACGTACTATGCTTTTTTCCTATACATACATACCTATGATAGAGTTTAATTTATACATTAGGAACAGTAAGAGATTAACAATAATAAAATAGAACAATTATAACAATACACTGTAATAAAAGTTACATGACTGTTGTAGTGGATTGAATTATGTACCCCCAAAACTCCCTGAAGTTGAATTGTGTCCCCCAAGTTTTATGTATTAGAAACTTAGCTCCCACTGTGACTGTTAAGAGGGTGGGAAATCCTATTACAGTAATTGAAAGGTGGAGCCTTGAAGAGGTGATTGGATTGTAGGACCATGTAGTAGCGAATGGATTAAAAATGGTGGTCAGAGGCATGGTTCTAAGGGCTTTAAAAGAAGAGGAGAGTCTGTCTTTTGTTTACAGTAATTGAAAGGTGGAGCCTTGAAGAGGTGATTGGATTGTAGGACCATGTAGTAGCAAATGGATTAAAAATGGTGGTCAGAGGCATGGTTCTAAGGGCTTTAAAAGAAGAGGAGAGTCTGTCTTTTGTTCTCTCTGCTCTCTCTGCTTCCACCATCTTGCAATGTGAGACCCCTGGGTCACTGTCACCACCACCAGATGGACTTTGGACTTCCCAGCCTCAGAAACTGTAAGCAATAAATTTCATTTTCTTCATAAATTACCCAGTTCCATGTATTTTGTTATAAACAACAAAAACCAAATAATACAACTGTGGTCTGTCTCCCTCTCCTTCGCACAATCTCTCATTGTTCTTTACACAACTATTTTCAAACTGATGTTGCCCACAGGGAACTTAAACCAAGGAAAACAAAATATTGGATAAGAGGGGACTACTGTATTTCAGATCTAAATATAAACAGGAGGGACTTCTGATTAAACACGGTGAATTGCATGCATCTCTATTCCTCAGTAAAACCTCATGAAGACAAAAGTAAAGGGAAACAAATGGATAAATACCCAAGGCAAAAGAAAGAAAATAGGAAAAAGAACAGACAAAAAAGCAACAAAAATTTAGAAGCTGGAAAGCAGATAGCCTTAGCCAACTTAGCAGAGAACAAACTCAGTCCTATAGTGGACTATGGTCCTATGCCCATAGTGGAGATACCAACTGCCATGAGCTAAATGTTTGTCCTCTCCAAAGCTCATTGGAACTTAATCCCCAATATGTTATTTGAAAGGTGGGGCCTTTAAAAGGTGATTGGATCATGAGGACTATGCCCTCGTGAATGGATTTTAACCTATTCATGGGTTAATGGGTTAATGGGTTATCAGGGAGTTGACTGGTGGCCTTATAAGGAGAGCAAGTGAGCAAGTAAAAATGCTCTTGCCATTCTCGCCATGTGATAACCTGCATTGCCTAGGGACTCTGCAAAGAGTTCCCACCAAGACAAAGGCCCTCACCATATATGTGTGCACTGGACCTTGGACATCCTAACCTCCAAAGGTGTAAAATAAATGTTGTTTTCTTATAAATTACCCAATTTCAGATATCCTGTTATAAGCAACAGAAAACAGACTAACACACAATGAAATACAAGATGAGTTTAAAAAATAAATAAATAAAGGAAACCTGAAAAGATTCAGGAACTGGAGCTCCCATAAAACAAAAGTGCAAACACAGAGTATGGTGGAGGGAGGACAGGGAGATAATACAAGAATTGGTTTAAAGTCTGTATAATAAGCAGTAAAACTTCTAGGTTCCTTCCCTCTCCTGCCCAATAGCCAAGCAATTATCCCTTTCCCACCCTAATGAGAATACAAGTCTATTAGGAAGAAAATGGACTTAATAGGTTCCAGACTCTCATACCAGTGCAGGGAGGAACAAGGAGAGCCCCATACCAAGACAGGGAGGTTAAGGGAAAGTCTATATAATATTCACAGCCACGGCCACTTACTATTGCCAAGCAATAACTAAGTTGCACTAGAAAATATATGTAATCAGAGCATACTATTTGGCTCAGAAATAAACATTTATATATAGCCATGATAATATAAACAATGAATACTGATTTAACCACAAATGTGACATAACTATATTGGGCATATGGAAGAATATGGTCCATCTTCATAGTCCATCATAAAAGGAAGCATGAGTGTGTGTGTATGTGGGGGGGGGGGGGGTTAAAAAAAA